CGTCGTGAACAGTCTGGATTGATTCTCGAGGCGTCCCGCTAACGTGCAGCATGCGAGTGCATCATTGTGTCCATTGTGTGTGTCTGTCTGTGTGAGACCGGCACATACACATGTGCGTTTGTGCCTATCTTAACTCAAGAGAATGAGAAACAGATTTTTTTTAATTCAGTGCGGTAGGAAATTCCCCAAAGTTTTTTTTAAACATATATAAACATACACAAAACATTTACCCTAATTTAAGCTGCACGCTTTTTTTTAATGTCCAATCCAGTGTGCACTGCTGCTCTTGAAGGGTTATTTATGTTTTCTTAACCAAGTCAAGTTCCTGAAAATGACTTGTTCCAACTTCAGTACTGAAGTTCAAGTTTCATTTTGCCATTTTATATGAGCTTGATTCAACGCACATGCTGCTGATGATTGAAACGTCTCTCGCTGAATCGCTGCAAAGTGGCTGCAGCTGAACGACGGCCCAGGTCCTCGTCACGAAACCGCAAACGAGAAAAGCTCTAAATTAGTGTCATTTGCTGCTTTTAGAAACTCACATTCTGCCTCGTCATTTCATCAGCTACGCTTACTTGCCGATTGATGCTCCTGACTGTTTCAGTTTCAGCTTCCACTGTACACTGTGCACATAATGGACTGCAACACACGACTTGATTTGTGTATGTCGGATTCCTGCGGGAGCCATTCAGCTGTTACAGTTTGCAGGAAAAGCAGATGAGACGAGTAAATCTCGGAGCCGCACTGTGGGGAGCCATCTTTGTTGCAAGTCAGGGTTTGTGTACAGAAAGCCCTGAAGGATCGCAGCTCTGACCTGGGATCTTTTGTTGGATCACATGACCTCACAGTATGAGCTTTACTTTGACAGAAGAGATAAACTGGTCCCAGATCACCGGACCTATTCCCAGACAATTTATGCTCGTGGTTCCAGGTTGAAAAGCTTTTGCTGCAGAGTTTTTCTGAGCACAGTTTACAGATGATCCAACAACTCAGGACATCTCCCGGTGAACTGGAGACTTTATCAGAAACTATGTCCCATGGTTAAATCGTACATGATGTCAGTGTTGTGTTGAATGTGCCAGAAGACAATAATCAAAACTCTCAGGTTCATTAAACAGATAATAATGAACTTTCCTCTGTTTGCCTCGGTCAGGCCATGCTCCTCAGTCGTGACGGCCAGTATCTGCTGACAGGCGGAGACGGCGGTATAGTGTCCGTCTGGCAGGTTCACAACCTCAAGCAGCTGTTCACGTACCCTGGCTGTGACGCAGGAATCCGCTCCATGGCCATTTCACACGACCAAAGGTAAGAAGCACACGTGTGTACACTTATTTATGAAAGTATCAATGAAACATTCCTCCCCTTATGAAGGAAAAAGATTATGTCTAATTTTATTAAACTCTACATATATTAGACATACTTGAGTTAGTTACTACTTTTTCCTACAATGTAGGAATAAAATAGAAACAGTCACATTTGGATACAGTAGCCAATAATCCACAAACGTTAAATATCGTAGCATCTCTTGTGTGAAAAGTCCACATTGCTCAGCGTATATGCATCTTATTGATATTAATAATAGATATTTAAGCAGCTTTTTGATGATGAAAACAACAATAACCACTTTATACAATTGATAGTTAATACAATACAAATTTGTCTGTAAAATATGAATTATTGAATTAACTAGTACCTCTAGTTAAATGCTCCTTCGTTGATGCAGTAAATATATACTTCAAACACAAGTACAAACATTTCAATTACTATTCAAATTTACTGCAGATTAAAACCAAGACACTTGACAAACAAAGCCTGATGTTGTTGCCTCCTCCCTCCGCTCAGGTGCATCATCACTGGGATGGCGTCAGGAAGCATCGTGCTCTTCTACAACGACTTCAACAGGTGGCACCACGAGTACCAGACCAGGTACTGAGCCCGAAACTTAACTGATAAAGTTGGACAATGACGAAGATCCAGACCGTTGCACGAGTGAACTCTTCAACGAAGGAACTGTTCTGTCTATCCTGTTCTCCTGAATGTATCTCACTGAGGAAAAAAAGATTTAAAAAAACAACCTGTCCTGTTATAGTAAAAGAATCAAACTATTTTTTAAAAAGGGCATTACTATATTTTGTAGAGCTGATAGAAACTTTTCATATAAATCATAGGGTGGGGGGGGGTTAAGTTACTGTACGGTTAAAAACAAAATCTATTTTTAGCTGTAAGAGTCTATTTTCATCTCCTCCAGAAAAGAAAAGAAAAAAGGGGAATTGTGGGGAGTTTGTGAAAATGTTTTCTCTTGACTTAAAAATCCAAATATTTGTGTACTTTAGGGTGAGTGATTTTTTTTCTTTTTCTGTAGGTGTGTATGTGGGAAATAACTATTAAGTAATCATTCACTTTTACCAAGCGTTTTGACAGCACAGGCGTTAGATAGGAAATGTTTGAATAAATAAATGTATCAGAGAGAAGGATAAAAGAAGAGGGAATATACATATATATAAATTATACTGTTTAAATGTTAGTCTTTCATATTTAAAAATGTCCATCTGTACCTCTGCTTGCATTTCTGTGCATGGCTCATGACTCATACACAACATATCAGCGCAGGTTTGTCACATTATCATTTAATACTTTAAAAAATCTAAAAGTTCCCTGCATCAGTGATGTTCACAGAGCGTCACACAGAGGAGAATGACTTTTATTGGGGGGTTTTCTCCTAAATGACTGAATTACCAAACAGCAATCAACGGATTAATCTTGTCATAGAAAATGCGACGGTTTTGCTTTCTCGCTAAATAAATGAACTCCTGTCATACGTCTGTGCCCGTCTCCACAGCAGCTCGACACTAAGTGAGAAGTGCAGTGAAATGAAGGACTTCCTGCATTTCAGTCTTTTTCTTTATCCATCGCAGATCATGGGATGAGTGGTTGTGTTAAGATGTGATTCAGCACTAAAATGGCAAAGAGGCATTTTCATTTGATCCTCAGTTAAAACAAACTTCCACTCGTATCTTTGAATTTTTTTTTTTTTGTTGTTGAGGAGACATTCCTTTTGATGTTAATGCTTTGGTGTGGTTTGAATCTACAACTCTGAGAACTACTGTTTATCTATCAACCAATATTTTTGCAATCATTTTGGAGTGTTTTGTGTGCCGAGTTCTGACAATAAAACCCAATTTTATAACTTGAATGGTGCTCAGTGTTAAATGTGGATCGAACGGCGCCCTCTAGTGGCCAACAGCTGGTGTTACAAACACACGTACCACAAGCTTGTTCATCTCAAGTCTTTATTGCATTTTTAGTTTTATTCATTATTTACTCGTTTCTGCCGTTTCAAAATAGTGGGACATTAAAAGCAGCCGCTCTATTTCTAATAAAAACCACGACTCCCATTTTAGCTCTAAACTGTCTTCATACAAATTTCCCTTTTACAAACTGCTATGACAAAGCAAATTAAACTAACTACGATTACATAAGAGAAGCTCAGCGACCAACCTGACTGAGTGTGAGGGCTTTGTCTTCATGCAGCTGGGAGCAGGAGGAGTTGACACCACTAACACCAGCTGAGGAGTTTAAAACCAGCACGAAACAAACCACTTACAGATAAACTGAGGATGCACAGGTTGGTTCTGATGAAGGCATCATGAAGCAGTTAGCCAGTGGTGAGGTACACACCTGTCACCTTGACAACACATTCATTCCTACTATTTAAATCCAACATATTTAAAAATAAAATGACAGGAGAAGTGTTGAGGAGTCTCATTGAGCTTGACGTGTTGTCTCTGAACATCGACAGAAAAGTTTCTTCACATTATGAACAACAACAAAAAAAAAAGACTGTCATTGTGTAATTGAACGTGTCAGCGAGTCTTACACACTACAATGGGTTTAAAAAGTAATTTACTTTCATGGACTTGATTTTGATCAGGATATTTTTTCCTGAAATGTCTCGGTCTACCTTAAAGCAACACTTTGCAACTTTCTGCCTTAAAATATTCACTTGATAGGAGAAATAGAATAGAAAGAATGTTTCCTCTTTCTTTTCCACTCCTTCAAAGTTTGTTCTTGCTCTAAGTAACTTTGGTGAATGGGTGATTCACTCAGACAACTGAATGAATAGCCATGTGCAGCTGCAGGGGGCGCTGTTGGTCAGTAAAAGTAGTAAAAGTTGCACAGTGTTACTAAAATACCTCGAGGGTTGAAGGAATTTAGATTGTGGTGATAAGAGCTTTGAAGGATTCGACTTAAACAATGTTCCAGACACTCAGTGCAACAGAGGCTGTACATTTGTTTTTATGAGATCTTCAGATTATCGGGGAAAATACAACGGTATTTTTTGAAACCGAGGACCACAAACAAAATTCTCAACGATATGTCTTAACCTCTTCCTGTTAGAGCGGCTGTTCTCCGCTCAAAGAAATAAAATTAAAATATGTGAATTAATATAACAAAAATTTGGCCAATTGTTTCGATAACTTAAAAGTGTTTTTATGAAAAATCTTTGGTTGACATGGTCACACGAAGAAGCAAAAGGAAACTGATCTTTAGCTTGTTTCTATGTTTTTAACTTGAACGTGAGCAGATCTTTGTTTCTGCTTTAACAGTTAATGCTCATTTGTACAGACGTGATTTCCAGGTACTTCCTTAGTTGTTATTAGCTGCTTTCTACTGTTACTTTGATTTTGTACATCATATTGTAGATTTGTGGTTCGTCATGAGCAAAGCTTTCGCTGGAGAAAATACTCTGTGGTTATAGTGAGTAAAGGTGGCGACAACAACACGTTCAGATATTTGATTTGCTGAAATCATGGTTCAGGGATGTTTGTGTGTAACTAATATTTACAGAAGAGCCTCGGTCAACATGGGACAATAAATTAAGGAAAGACTTCACATTAATGTGATACAGTCATTCAAGACTTCCAAATACAACCACTCACTGGTATTCATCTCATTCCCTTTATCCACGTCCTCCGTTAATAAATACAAACCTATATATACACAATCAACTCGTTTTCACACACTCTGGAAAATACCTCACGTCCTCCGTCTCAGAGAACGAGTGAGAAAAGGAGGAGTGGCCGCAGCATTCACTGGCTCAGGTTACAGATACGGGGAGGAGGTGGAGGTTCACTCTCCTCATCTCACGTCTAATCATACATATACGTGGGAACAGGAGGAGTGAGTGTAACCACACCTTTAAACCTCCATCAGCTCCTCAGCAGGAGGAGGGCTGGGAGGAGCTGGGTCGGATGGAGAGGGCGGGGTCGTGGATCGGGGCGGAGTAGAAGGAGGAGAGGGAAACAGGGTCGGATGGAGGGAAGCAGGGGAGGAAGGTTCCTGTTTGGTCGGGGAAGAAAGAGGGAAGAACACAGCAGGTTTAGTGGAGGATGGGGAAGCTTGTTCTGTGGGCGAGGACGACTGGCGCTGTAACTCTTTGGGCAGAGGAGGGAGAGAGAGAAACTGGTTTGGGAGGAGATGAAGGGGGAGGACAGGAAACAGCAGGAGGGTCTGAGGGGGATGCAGATTCATGAGGGGAAGGAACGGGTGCCATTGGGAACGTTTCGGCACAGGGCGAGAACCGGAGAGAACTTTCCGGAGCAGAGAGGGGGAGGGGAATCTGAGCGGGTGACAGGTCATTTTCATTCTGAGGCTGAGAGCAGGGAGGGTCATCGTCAGGCACAGACGTCAACGTGGTCTCGGCAGGTTTTGGTACTTTGGCGTGTGACGGTTGTTTGGTTGGAGAAGCTGGTCCTGACTGCGAGGCCGCTTGGATCGGAAGGAAAGACGGGACTTGGCTGCGAGCTGGTGAAGTTGAATGCGGCACCGACTGGGGGCCTGGACAGCGACGAGCAGTGAGCTGAAGGGTCTCCTTATCTAGAGCCGTGTTCTGGAACAACAGAAAGAGACACGTCAGCTGGACGCGTTCGAGCAGCGTCAGATAAAAAGATGCTGGAGAACTGATCAGTTTGCAGATTTTTAAAAAAGCTGATCATTAAATAATGACCCAGTTATTTCATTGATGTGAATAAACAACACGTGATGAATGTGATGGACATGAATAAGTGAAAGATGAGTAAAGAAATGCACAGTGGAACGACCCCACAAGACAAAAATCCGATCAGTGCTACTGTATGTGCAGGAGAAAGGGCAAATGAGAAAGTCTTCCATCCAGAATCTAAACTAGCTGAAGCCAATCACACCAGACAACAGGCGAGAGGCGGGTACATCCTGGTCGCCAATGTTTGAAAGGCAAAATAACCATTCACGCTCACATTCACACCTACGGTCAATTTAGAGTCTCCAACGAACCTGAACCCAATCTGAAGGAAAACCCACACAGACACGGGGAGAACATGCAAACTCCACAGAGAACCAGGAATCTTGTATGAGATATTAAACTTCTACTTTTTCTTTTAATAAATGCATAAAAGGTCAATTTGTCCTGATTGAAGACAATGACGTGTGACATAAATGTGACGTTCCTCATTTGCCCTTGTGCTGAGTATCAGCTGCAGAAGAGTCGAGGTGTTAGTACGTACCATCGTCTTGGAGCTAATTCAGAGGAAACGCAATGCAGGGGGGGAAGCAAAGAGGGACAGAGACTAGTCTTAACTCACAGCTTCACAAAATAAAAACAACAAGCATGACGGCAAGTGGACAGTTCATGTTCCAGCTCAGTCTGTTGGTTCAGATTATCAGAACTTTCTTTTGTCCAAATCCAAACAACACTTTGCGTTTATAGAAAATTGAGCAGGAACAAAACTGGCAAAGCATGTTTTTTTCAGGCAAAGACACAAATCAGTGGTTTTTAATGTGAATAATTCTTAATAAAATGCAGAGTTATGATTAAATGTGTTGTTTGATTGGATTAGTTCTTAAAGATGAGGCTGGTGGTATTCTACATCTTTCTTATTAAAAACAAATCCCACCAAAAGAACATTCTGATCAGTTTTCGGTTCCAAGTCTTTTTTTCTAGTCCTACATTTTATTTAAATTTCATAATATATACAACTCAAGTCAAGAAAACAAAAACTCACAACTATAAACTAAAAAAACAAAACAACTTTGAAACTTTGGAACTTGCAATGGAAGTAGCACTAAATAAATGTTGACATAATTACGACCTAAACCTATTTAAGACTTAGCACATGATATTTTAACATAATAAGACTTGATTTTTGATTACTGATTTTCATTATTAGTTTGATTTATTTAGTAAATACTTAAAATATGTTTATTAAGTTTAGTAATAATACTAAAGACTTTAAAGTTTATTCATAGACCATCTGCTACCATTAAACACAAGAGTAGAGCATCAACTGTTTGTGAGTCCAGGGAATAATTGATAATTGAAGTTTATTCTATTCTAAAAACAACAGAACCAGGAAAGATAGGACATTTCTGAGTCTTATTTAAGAATAAAAAATAGTTTTTAAATGATTTCTTCAATTGGAACCAATGGACAAAGAGCTGAAAGCAGGATTTGTTGACAGTAATTAAATATACAACACATCCGTCCTCATCCTTTAAAACTTGCTGGGGAATTTTCTAAAAGCTGGTTTACGTCCATCTCTGCACATTTCAACTACAACACAGTGCCAGTGCAGCTCTCGATTTACTCCACAAGGTGGCACTAGAGTACCATTGACATGCATCAGGTGCTGAGGAACCAATCATTGATTTATGGATCTACAGGAAGTTGATTTTAAGCAGCTAGTTAGAATGAAATCAATGATGGCAGAGAGGGAGGCCCAGCTCTTGCTCTAGTGGTGATGTAAACATGCTAAATAACTTGAATGACGACGTGTGATTAAACAAAATGATTGATGATTATTGATTTATGATTTACATCCCATATAGGTTTCTGATGGACACGGATGAAATGAGACTGAAAGAGCAGAAAAAGATGTAAAGAGTCGTGAGGTAAATCCAAGAGGAGAGCGCACGTTAGCATGTCCAACATCCGCTGGTTATTGAGAGCAGTTACTGCAGCTGAGGGGCTGAGAGAGAAACAGGAAGGAAGGAAGGGAGAGAGGGGTGAGGGCTGTTATGGATGCAGGGGGTGGGGGCGAGGGTGAAGGGCGATGGCTGGAGAGGAAGAAGGGAGGCAGCAAGGATGCGGGGGTGGGGGTGGGGTGTACCCGGCTTTCAGCTCCAGGCGTCCCCTGTGGTCCTGGGTCGGGTGTGAGGGAGGGGTGAGGAGGGTGGGCGGAGGAAGTGGATGAAGAGGAGGTGGAGGATGAAGAAGAGGAGGAGGGGCCGAGGCCAGGGCCCATGTTTACACCTCAAACTGTCAAATGAAATTTTCAAACAACACGCAGGAGAAGACGGATCAAATCTCTAATCAAAGAAACTCGGCTGATGGAGGGGAGGGGGCGTGGCCTGTGGAGATGAGGCGTGGAGGAAGTAGAGAGGATGGAAGACGTGAAAGCTACACGAGTGAATTCTTCACTGCTCCGTGTTTCCATCGCTCTAAAATCTGTGACTCAGATGTTCACAGCAGCGTAAGTTGATTATAACTTGTATTTAATGTCGTCTTTAACGAGGATTGAGGCCAAATCTGCTTCACCAGTGAGTCGCTCGGCAGCAGATTCAAATAAAATGATAAGAAGAAGCTCAATCTTTTCTATTTGGGTCAAACATTTGCTGTCGCTCGCTGTAAACGACGCGTAGAAGAAGACCTGGCACGTCAACTACACGTCGACATGAGCGAGGTCACTGAAACATCATCAGATCACTGTGAAAAATCTCAGAAGATTGATTTCAAAATCATTTGTTGGGTGGTGGATGTGTGTGTTGTCTCACCATGATGATGGACACACCAGCTGTGGTGTCGTTGTGCTTCGGTGCGGTGTTAAAGTGCGTCTTCAGTTTACCTGTCACCTCCATCTTCATGTTGTTCTCTATGACTGCATCGTCCTACACACACACACACACACACACACACACACACACACACATACACGAAGAGCGTTTTATCTATGCACACACACATATCACAAGTTTTGAAGTTCTGTTCACATCTGCAGGACTGTGAAAATGCTTTTGGCACTGAAAGTACATTGAAGATGTTTCAAAATTATTGCTTTTAAGTTTTTATTTGGAAATTAACGTCATACAAACCACAGCTAACGAAGAAAAACTAAATAAAATGTAATATTCGATGTGAGTCACTCAAGTTTACGTATAATATCTGGTCTTTAAATCAGCACCAGTTCTCCAAGGTGCAGTTTTTCGATGTATAGTTTGACTTTTCTGTCTCTTCATGTAACACCAGAATCTGTGGGGGGGAAAACATCTGTTGCTCGTTGTTCTTCTCGTCACTAAATCTAAATCTTTTGGAATCTATCAAGCTTTCAGAGGAAGTTATAGCAGGAAGATGTCTGACGGCCACAGAACTCTACATGCACATACACACAAACAGTGTTGCACCATACCGTGACCCATGGGTGGGAGAGGACGTCTTGTGCTGTGTATCGAGGCTCGGCGTTGACCTGCAGCATTTTTCCAATCAGCTCCTGAAACACACATACACACAAAGTGTTTAGGAAAATATCAAGGCTAAATACGACTTATTCATCTTGTGTGGCTCTTGAGAGGAAATTATCTTATTTGGAAATCCCTTCACAAAACTCTATTAATCAACCATTTCAAGCTAACTTTATAAAATGTAATTAAACTTCAGATAAAAGCTGCATGAATCTATCATTAAACTAAAAATGACTAATATTTATGAAATTAATAAAGACTTATGCAAACAATTGACTACAGAACTTGACTTTTACATACACATCCAGGAGACACAGAGAAAAGTATCTTCAGTATTCACTTCTTTAGCTCTGATGAGGTTTTTTAAAAACTCCTCGACACTGTTTTAAGAAACCAGTAGTACATTTCTCAGTCTGCTGTTTGATGCTGTGTTGGTAGTTTCACTGAATGCAGCTGCTGCTGCTGCCGAGAACATCGCTGATCGCACTAAATCAGTTAAGTTAATGACCATGACTGCAGAACAATGAGCTGAGACACACACACACACACACACACACACACACACACAGGTTTCATGCTGTGGAGTTTGTAACATGTGTTTTCGGCGACAGGCCGCTGTGCAGTGAGTTTAATTAACAGCGTGGTTCTACACACTGAGGGCTGTCACGTTAATACATGACATTATTCAGAGGGTTGGAGGAGTTTCTCTTGTCAGACAGTCATTAATGCAGTGGGTTCGTGTGTGTGTGTGTGTGTGTGTGTGTGTGTGTGTGTGTGTGTGTGTTTGTGTGTGTGTGTCTTATCTTGTGTAATATTTAAGATCATTTTCAGACTTTTTACTGTCACTGCATTTAGTTCATGTTAAAATAGTTTGTGTTCATTGGAATTAGATAGTAAATATATGTGTGTGTCTGTTTACTTGTACAGATATCTTTGTGACCATTTTGAGCCTAAAACTTACGGAGTAAGGACATTTCGGGAAAGCGAGGACATTTTGACCGGTCCTCACTTTGGCTTGGTCATAGGGTTAGAATTAGGGTTAGGCATTTAGATGGTTGAGGTTAGGGTAAGTGGGAGGGAATGTATTATGTCAATGGGTGTATTCACTAAGATATGAGTACAAACGTGTATGTGAGTGTTTCCAACCTTGGCTGAGTCTGTGATGTTGTCCCAGTAAGGACTGGGAAAGTCCAATCGTCCCTGGAGGATCTGGTCAAACAGGTCCTCTTGTGAGTTACTCTCACTACACGGAGCACATAGACACTCAGTGAAAAAAAGAATGTCATATATACCACATATCATACATGTTCATTGTAATGGCTGCATAAATAACCTGCAACCTCACCTGTGATTATATTTTGTCTGATTAATTCAACGGTAATTTAGGTGGAACTCATCCACTATATGAACATCATTAACACAACAACTAAGTACAGGAATACTTTTTGTTATTTAGCAAAATTTAAATGATACATGACTGGTTCCTTGAATCAACATTGTATTTATCTCTTACATTTGTTTACTAGTAGCAGATTAATTCTTGAGGTGGATGAAGTCAGTACCTTCTGAACGGAGGAAATCCACACAGGAGGATGTAGGTGATGACGCCGGCAGCCCAGATATCGACCTTCAGACCATAACTGTGACAGATGAGAGAAAATGTCAGTGACAGATTAAATATCTTAAAGCACATCAACGATCGTCCCAGTGTTACAAATACTGCAGACGACTGACTGGACATAAAACGACAAGATAAAATACATAGTGAAGTTTTGGAAAGAAAAAATAAGGTTTTCCATCTGCTACAATGATGTGGAAGTAAATATACAATTACAACCAGAGGTGGCAAAAGTACTCACGTTCTTTACTTGAGTAAAAGTACAGATACTTAAAAAAACACTTTGTGTTCAAATGTAAGGAGCAAAAGTAAAAAGTCGTCAGGAAAATAAATACTCAAGTACAGATACCTGAAAAATCTACTTAAGTACAGTAACAGAGTACTTTTACTTCGTTACTTCCCACCCCTGATTAAACCATGAACACAGACACAGTTAGATGGTTTCTTTATTCTTCATAAAGCTTTTAATCTCCGCACAACTGATAATAACACAGCCGACTCACATTTCTACTCTATTGTGTTCGTAGAACAGATGTTTCCATATAATCAGACTCAAAGATCAATAGAAACAAAAACATTTCTCCATCAACAAGCGTCTCCTCGAGACGAGTGTCACATCCTGTCAAAACCTCCAGCTTACCCAGACTCTGAGATGATTTCTGGAGCGACATACGTGGGAGTGCCACATACGGTATACAGGGGTCCCTCCACCACAGTGGCCAGGCCAAAGTCCCCAAGCTTCAATGACTTGGTGCCATCTGGGTATTCAAAGACCTAAAGTGAAGCACATGCTCAGTTCAAGGCCACTGAAGAGTTGGATTTGTTGGAGAAACACTGTTGTGTGTGTAATTGTGTACCAGCAGGTTCTCTGGCTTAATGTCTCTGTGGACGATGTTCATGCTGTGCAGATACTTCAGAGCTCCAATGAGGTTGTAGATCATGATGCTGCCGTCTCGCTCTGTGTATTTGGTTGAGGAGGTGATGGCATCAAATAAATCTCCTCCCTGCATGAAAAACAAACAAGGATTACATATTCAAGCACATAGAGAAAAACGAGGAGCACGCACTGACACTGACACATGAGTTTACCCGAACCTTGACAAGCTCCATGACCAGGTACAGCTCAGAGGCAGTGTCCACCTCCTCAACCAGCATGATGATGTTGGGGTGTTTCACCCTCCGCAGCACGGCCACCTCGTTCTCGATGAGGTGCTCCTGCAAACACACACAGGATTTGAACTGAGCCATTATGCTCATTAAGAGAAGCTGCGTTTTTTCGACTGAATTTAAATTGGTGTTGAGGGTGAGTGAGTCAGAGTGAGTCAGACTGAGTCAGAGTGAGTGTGATTCCTTGTGGGAAAGTGTGAAGAAGATTTAAGTCAAGTGATAAATAAAACATGGCTGAAATCTAACTGTGAAGGATAAGATGATCAGACACGCACGGGCAATACAGTGTACATGGGTGTAAATGATGGCCAGTGGAACAGCAACATGTGACTCTATATGAATGTGCACAGGTCTGAAGGTGAAACACAGACAGTAGAGAGGGAATGGGAGGAAATAAAGATTGAAACCTTTCCGCTGCACTTGGCCTTGTCGATGATCTTCAGTGCAAACTCTTTTCCACTGGACCTGAACAGAAACAGGGGATTTAGAGATAAAGGCACTGATGTCACAGGACTGTGACTCAAATCAAGCACATGTAAGAGAGTAGAGCCCGACCAATGTGGATTTTAGGGGACAGATGCCAATACCGATATTAGGTAGTAAAACACAAAACAAATATTTATATTCAAAAAAGGCAGCAAGTCCAACATGTAACTGAGGCTTGGTCTTTTTCATTTTTTACCAGAAAACATAAATTAACTAAATATATAGACATTTATTTAAGAAAGTGTTTAGTACAATGTGAACATAAATGCAGAAACAAAGACGTCTGTGAAAGCCTCATACTCATTTCTATCTGCCAATATATACATTTGTCTGGGTCTATATGAAGCGCCTGCGTTACAGTGTGCACAGAGCACCGGCACTAAGTCAGTGGAACTGAGATGCAGTGCAGATGCACACAAGACAATAACAAGTATAAAGAAGTTGGCAACTTTTTCAATATAACACTCATAACTTACTCATATTAAATATTATTTGAAAAAGAAACATTGAGAGGTGAAACAGATATTTCACCTGACTCTTGTTCATGGTGACCCCACTGTCAGTATGTCAAGTTTCAGAAGTCTTAATTCATGGCAGTCATCCCTCCTGTCTGCCAGTGTGTTGTCTTGGAGATTAAAAGGCTAATGAAGTGAATTCACAGCTGGGTTTAATCCATGGGATATTTCTGTCTCCACAGTGTCTGTCATCAGGACTTAAACACCCTGATCGAGCAGTTAGCGCACACGTCTCATTGAGCAGTGCAACAGGACACACTGCTTTGCTGCCGCTGCACACAGCTGCCGTCTGTGCATTTACACATCTCCGGCCTGATTAGATGCGTTTCACCCACCTCTCCACACACTCCTTCACCACAGCAAAGTTGCCGTCTCCAATGACCTTGCCAACTTGGTATTTTTCCAAAATGGTGGTGGCAGGAAGGTAGCGGTTGCCGTTAACTGTTGAGGAGAGATGAAGGTTAGAAGAGGAGACGAAACAAACTCTGCTGTAATGAAATACAGGGAGCTTAGGAAGCTTTGGCAGAAACTCAACCAGTTCTCAGACAGAGAATTAAAGGACCACATGCTGTGCAACAGAATAACACACTCACTGGCAACAACATGCAGAGTGATGCTATAGAGAGGAGAGGAGGAGAGGAGGAGAGGAGAGGAGAGGAGAGGAGAGAAGAGAAGAGAAGAGAAGAGGAGAGGAGAGAAGAGAAGAGAAGAGAAGAGGAGAGGAGAGAAGAGAAGAGAAGAGAAGAGAAGAGAAGAGAAGAGAAAAGTAAAGAAGATAAGGTGATGAGAGGAGAAGAGAGGAAAGGAAAGGAAAGGAATGGAAAAGAAAGGAGATAAGGTGATGAGAGAAAAGGAAAGGAAAGTGGACAGGAGAGGGGAGAGGAGAGAATAAAGGAAAATAAAGGTAAGGAAAGGAAATAAAGGTAAGGTAAGGAGAGGAGACAAAAGGAAATGAAGGTATGGTGAGGTGAGGAGAGGAGAGGAAAGAAAAGGAAGAGGACAAGACAGGAGAGGAGAAAATAAAGTAGAGGAAAGGGAAGTAAAAGAAAAGAAAGGAAAGGTAAGGTGAAGAGAGGATAGGATTAGGATAGGATAGGAAAGGAAACAAAGGGAAAAAGAAAAAATGAATGTAAGGTGAGGAGAGCAGAGGAGTGGAAAGAAAAAGAAAAATGGAATAAGGAAAGAAAGTAAAAAGAAAAGGAGATGTACCCTCTGGACTCAGTTGGTTGCTTTGCTCTTGGTGGTTGTTCATTGAGCCGTTGACATTAGTGGAGATGTGATGTGATGGAGGGATCTGCTGGAACAAAAAAGAAACAGAAATAGACGTGAGCGCCTGGCTCCAAAACAAAACAAGTCACCATGGCAACCTCAACTCTTTAAAATCGCTTCAAACCATTTAGACAGAAATGCATGTGAAAATAAAAAATAAAACTAAATAGAAAGAAATTAAGCATATAGTCAGCTAGGTCTGAAATAAGTCCATCCTTGAAAGTGGACAAGGATTCAGAGCAGCTGGAATCAAACTGCTTCATATCCACCTATCACCACTGCACATGAAACTGTTCTAAATCAGCAGAGCACATCAGGGGCTGTTTTAACATCTTGCAGCAGTTAAAATAACACTTTTCAGCTATGCACAGCCTCACTGTGCCATAATGTACATTACAGTAACTATCTATTATTCAGTATAAAAGCATAATATGTTGGACCAAAGTAGAAAGTGTGTGTTCTACAAGTGGTTACATTGGGATATAAGAAAGAGGTTTTAAAATATTCTGCTCTGCTCGCCCCCTCTAGTGAATTTTAGAGCTGACAGTAAATCATAAAACTCTCATATCCTGCCAAATGAATGTGAATGGATAAGTCTTTGGGCTTAAGTGAGGAGCACTGGCTCCTGGGAAGTTTTCCAGCTGGAGGAGCAGTTAGAAACTCTGTAGTTTGGTGCTAACACGCCTCTGACAAACAAATCCACCAGTAAATCAGATTTGTATATCAGACTCAACCGAAAATATATCATACAGCTGCAAAACGGGCATCAGTCAGTGACATAGACTTATTTCATCATGTTCTATTAAAGAGGTAAGGACAGTTAACATCAAATTATGTCAGTGGTGTAAAAATTACAGTCTTGGCTGCAACCAGTTACTTAATAAAGTATCTACTGTTTCCCAGGAACCTGCTCAGACTAATGTGAATGCATCCCTATAAAAAACAAGCTGTACACAGTAGATGTTGGAGCACAGCTGTCTGCTGTGGGTGCTTTGTGCATTCAACTATGTACTACTGTATGTGACATTCCTGTGATATTCTGTGTTATACCTTGAAACTGGGGATGGGTCGGGGGCTGGTGGGAGACGGAGTGGAGGACTTGGTGGACTTGGTGGAGATCTGGCTGCTTGAGACGCCATTTACTGTACAGAGAGAAATAGAGGAAAGAGATTAGCAAGAACAGTGTAAAGGGCCATTGTGACAATTTTCCAAATAAGTGTCATTGGATAAAACTGCTTGTTAGTAAGACAGCTTCTTCAAATGTGTTGTTACAAACTCAAATCCATCCATGGGTCCAGGAGAGGCTAAAGTCGCACGGTCTGAAGCATTTTTGCTGGATGTATTATGTACCTCATTCAAACTCACACATCATATTTATAAGGTTCAAAAATATCTACAAGCAGAAGCTGCTGGGCCGATGTAGAGATGCAGAGAATGTAACAGGTACAGTTTTAATACATCTTTAAATCTGTGTTCCTATTTGGCTTCAATACTCTGCCTTGGTTACTTCCCATCTATCTATCTCATCTTATCCTTACATGCATCACATTAAAGGGTCTAAACTGGCACTACTGTTACTTTTCTGCTCATTAGTAAGGGACATGTTTATGAATGACTCAAAGACAAACATTTTTGTTGTTTTTATAAATTTCCATTTACACGATCAGTACACTTCTCATTTTGTATGAGACACACTGAGTGTTTAAAACGAGGTGCACAGGCACACAGCAGGGACGAGAGCTATATATATATTTGTTTGAGTGATTCATTCTCATTCTCTCAAGAACAGACAACTTCTGCCTCCTTCTCTCTCTCCCAGTTTCTGGCACAAATACAGAGACATAATGCGTCAAACTTTAACTCAAAGTCTCCTTATCTGCATCAACCCAGCTGAGCTGAGAACATTATTCCACACTGCGTACATGCTGGGCCTTTCTACTGCTGCTGTGTCAGAGTTGTACGTTTTTCTTTTGATTATCCAGATTCTCAGATTGTCACCTAAATGTCTTCCAGTTATTTAGCTTCATTGCCTTCTTAAGCAAATGTACTTCTAAATCAATGTTAGAGGAACAATTGAACTAAATTATATGATATTTAACTCTACATTTATATGTTTTTAAAGTTTATTTTTTAACACCTGAGATGCTGCAGATACAGAGGCGTGTGATGTAAGTGTGAGGTTTACTGGCACAGCTGAGAAGTGAAGCGAATTTAATCAGTTCATGGCTTTAAATCTGTGGATTCTGCAGCAGCTCGCTCTCAGATTCCATAAATGAGTTCACTTCAGAGGAACGAGAGAAAGAAGGTCAAAAGAAAGGGAATTACTTGAAACTTAAAAAACTTTGAAGAGACGTTTAGAAGATGCAACTAGAAGATTTCAGCTATGGTTGTTTATACCAGACAACCAAATAAATGTAATGGACATAAGTGGATGGAAAATGACTATTTTAAAGACTTAAAATGTGATGTGAATATTATAATGATAATAAAATAATTGTACTTAAATCTAAGAAATTCTGCAAGATCTTAAACATTGCTAACTTAACACTCCATCTTAGAAGCTGATGTGCTGTAAATATGGTCTGAACGATTATGAAACATAAGCATTATTAAAAAGCTCTGTTTGCAATGGGATATTGTTGAAGATAAAATGCTCATATGTCCCTTTTAACATGGTAGTTCACCTGGAATTCAGTTAGCAAGGGGATGCTGCTAACAATTGGCAAGTAGTTTAAAATGTCAGACTACATGCTCAGAATTTGCTTAAATGAGTTAATTGTTTTTGTGTATTAGTACTGAATTCACTGAGGTTACCGGTTGAAATAATTGTTGGGCAGCTGGAATTTTTGTTTAAAAAGACACTCTGATTAACACTGATCTTTTCCGAATCTGAGGACAAACAGAGTAGCCAGAGTCAGCATTTATTCACAAGAGGAGAACCTCTCACTGTGAGAAGCTCATTTTACTCAGTGGCTTTGCCCTAATTACTAGAGTAACTTGATATGATGTTAAATAAGGAAAACTGTGTGGCACCATCACAGCCTCACCTGGGGATTTGATGGGAGACTGACTGGTAGAGTAGAGGATCGGTCGTCTTACTGCGACACAAATAGAAAAAAAAAGACTTAAAAGATATACCGGTAATCATATTACACTTAATTTAAATATAAGTTGAACTTCCAATGCCAAAACTCTGGCAGTGCTACATCAAACGAACAACCTCTCATGTGCCTCGTCTTTAAACTTGTTATGATGGCTTGTTGTAAACTTATTACTCAGCATAATGTCACCATCTCTCAATGCAGCACACAAATTGTTTAGTCACACATCAGAACTGTTGTGGGGTTTAGAATGAGGCTGCCAAAAATGATTTTACTCAGCCTGTCAATGAATACTGCAGTGTTACTTTGGCATCAATGGTGAAAGATACTTCCACACATACAGTATCTTGTATTCGTTTGCCTCAACCTTTCTGATAGTCTAGTCATGAGTACATTTTTTCTTTTACCTACACAGCAGAGAGGTATCTCTTCTAATTTCTTGAGGCTAATGCAGACAATCACCTGCTCCGGGGGATTTGCTGCGTCGTGGAGGTCCGGGGCTCTTAGCCGTGCGGTTGGGAGTTGCAGAGCGGCTGCACGATGACTTCAGCACTCTGCATTCTGGAGAGACAACATGCTCAGGGTCACTTTCGCATACATTAACCTTCCACTATCAGCAAACCTGTTCTTTCTTCCTCTCACAACAGAGTTAACATGGCACAAGCAGCTATACCAGACACAGGGCAATGTTATTAATGTGGCAAAGTTATTATTGTTCCAATGTTATTATCCACATTAATAACATTGATTTCATGAACACTGGTCTGATTTGGTTATGGAGACACAGTCTACAAACATCTCTGCACAAAGAGAACAATGGATTGGTTACCTGGGATCATATTCTAGTTAGGGCTGAGCTGCATTTTCACGTAAAGGCCATAATTATGGTTCGAGGCCTGAAGGGCCAGAATTTTAATGTTCATGGCAACTTACATCAAAACAGTTTTCGATGAAGGTCTTCCTACTCCATTACTTGTGTCTAGAGTAATGAAAATTGGCACACATGTGTATCATGCCCAGACACACACAAAATCCTCCAGCTACCCTTGGCCACACTCAACAGGAAGTCTGACATTTTGGATTGAACATGCAAATTTGGCTTGATTTTTGGCAAAATCGTACTTCTACGTATTTCAAGTGATCGACTTCACATTTAGTTTATGTCATGCTGGAGACCTTGTGATTAAAAGATATATTTATGTATTATTATTTCTTTATATTTATTACCTTTCTGATGTCTTATCAGTATGGGAGACATCCTCCCCATGAATAGCACAGATACCTTGTCTAGTCCAGATTTTTATTTGAACCACTTATCTTCTATTGATCTTCCTGAACTGCCCTTATTAGTTTCATCATCTAAACCAACAACGTGGTAGGAAGTGTTCACCCTAATGGACAGTTCCAAAAACTAATCAGATTAATATGTCTTTATTAACCGGCTACGTACCACAAGCTTTTAAGGAGATACCATAAAGTTGTGGCTTCAAGAGGCCATAAGGTTATAGGCGCTCAGCAATAATCGTAAACCTAAACTTGCCCTTTTAAATAAACAATTTCAGTCTACCACATACACATCTGCTCATGCAATATCACATCCACAAAATTTCCATTACACCCCCTAGCTGTAACAGGAAATGTCATATTTAACATTAAAGAAGTTCCAAGTCGGCAGCTTTTAGTGACTTAATGAATTTAGCAGAAACACTTGATTATATAGTATTGACCTGATCTTGATCCAGCGCATTGCTGCTTCACACAATCACATTACCACAATCCACTGCTGTACTCCCCATTCCCCAACCCCCACCTCCAGCCCCCACCACTATATTTTTTAAATTAAACATCAAACTCATGCAACATTTCAGCAGGGATGGAAGAAAAGAATGATATCACCACGCCTTTGACCGTTCATGCCTATGATCCCTGCATGGCTTTGACCCTCCATGCCTTTGAACCCTGCATGCCTTTGACCCTCCACGTCTTTGATCCTCCATGTCTTTGACCCTCCATGTCTTTGACACTTTTGACATTGTATAACGACACCCACCGGAAAAACTGAACAACGAAGCAGACTTTTCTTCAATTGAATCCCCACATATTCTGAAAGAGATAAAAACCAAGCAACATGCCAATCCTGATCCTTGGGTACCTTGTAGGTATGGCAGTCACTAAAACTGTGAGACGTGTATTTGACTATTTCCTCCCACCTGGAGAGAGAAATGTACATGTTGATGAGGATGAAAATTCAGCACCCATGGTTACCACTGAGCTGCCTGAATCAGAAACTAGCGTTGAAAAGACAGAGGCCAATCTTTTGGCCACTGCAGAATCAAAGCCTACAGCTTTGTTCAACAATGAAGAAAAACAAGATGAGATTGGACCTAAAGCAGCGGTGTCAGATGTTGCAGCACCACAAGAAGAGACCAGTGCTGCAGCTGTGTTGCACTTGTCTAAAGGTTTGTCCAAAAGTGCAGATGCTGTGTTCAACTCCTCAGAAGCACTGCAAGAGACTGGGTCGGCTGCACATATGTTCGACACTGCAGTGGCTGCCTTCAATGGTACAGCTTTACTCGATGAGACAAGTGCTTCAGATATGCTCAACCAGGCTCATGATTTGTACAAATATACTTTGCGCAAAGTTTTAGAAACCCTGGATTTGACCAGTGCTACAGCGGTGAGAGGTATTGATGGAAATGCAGCAGCTGTCCTGGATGTAACAGTAGCAGTGGATGCGAAGAGTTCTCCAGCTTCGTCAGCAGTTGTCACAGCTTTGTTCAACGATAAAGAACAGGGTGAGATTGGACCTGCAGCAGCTGTGTTTGACGTTGCAACATCACTGGATACGACAAGTGCTGCCGCTGTTTTCAATGATGAAGAACAGGATGAGACTGGACCTGCGGCAGCCATTTTAGATGTTGCAGAATCAATGGATACGACCAGTGCAACAGCTGTGTTCAACGATAAAGAAGAACAGGAGGACATTGGACCTGCAGCAGCTGTGTTAGACATTGCAGCAGTTGACATAGATAGTGCTGCAGCAGCCCTGCATGAGGTCAGTCCTGCGCGGACTGTGTTGGAATACGCAGCAGGTGTCCTGGATGTAACAGTAGCAGTGGATGCGAAGAGTTCTCCAGCTCGGTCACCAGTTGTCACAGCTTTGTTCAATGGTAAAGAACAGGATGAGATTGGACCTGCAGCAGCTTTGTTCAATGATGAAGAAGAGGAAGACATTGGACCTGCGGCAGCCATTTTAGATGTTGCAGCATCACTGGAAATGACCAGTGCTACAGCAGTGTTCAATGAGCTGGAAGAACAGGATGAGATTGAACCTGCAGCAGCTGTGTTAGACATCGCAGCATCATTGGATAAGATCAGTGCTACAGCTGTGCTCAACAATGAAAAACAGGATGACATTGGACCAGTGGCAGCTCTTGTAGATGTTACAGCATCATTGGAAAAGACCAGTATGGCAGCTTTGTCTAACTCTGCAGTCGCTGTGCACAATGCTATGGAAGAACTGGAAAGGACCTGCCCCTCTGCAATTGTGTCAGGCGCTGCAGCACTACCAGAAGAGACCAGTGATCTTCTTTTGTACAGTGCTGCATATGCTTTGCGCAAAGTCTCAGCAGCACTGGATTTGACCAGTGCTACAGCTGTATGCAATAATGATGAAACTTGGTACAATGCAATAGTCGATATGGATAATACTGCATCAGCAGTGCATGAGGCCAGTCCTGCACGAACTGTGTTGGAAAATGCAGCAGGTGTCCTGGATGTAACAGTAGCAGTGGATGAGAAGAGTTCTCCAGCTTGGTCACCAGTAGTCACAGCTTTGTTCAACGATAAAGAACAGGGTGAGATTGGACCTGCAGCAGCTGTGTTGGATGTTGCAGCATCATTGGATACAACCAGTGCTGCAGCTGTGTTCAATGATGAAGAAGAACAGGATGAGATTGGACCTACGGCAGCCATTTTAGATGTTGCAGCATCGTTGAATACAACCAGGGCTACAGCTGTGTTCAACGAGCTGGAAGAACAGGATGAGATTCGACCTGCAGCAGCTGTGTTAGACGTTGCAGCATCATTGCAGAAGACCAGTACTATAGCTGTGTCCCAAGTTACTACAGCTTTGTATAATGCTGCTGACACTGTTCGCAATGCTTTGGCAAAATTGAAAAGGACCTGCCCCTCTTTTATTTTGTCAGACACTGCAGCACCTCCGGGAGAGACTACTGCTGCAGCTGCGTTCAATGAGGTAGAAGAACAGGATGGCACTGGACTTGAAGCAGTTGTGTTAGAAGTTGCAGCATCATTGAATATGACCAGTACTATAGCTGTTTCCCAAGTTGCTACAGCTTTGTACAACGCTTTTGAGGCTATGCACAATGTTGAAGCAGGACTGGAAAGGGCCTGCCACTCTTTTATGTTGTCAGACGCTGCAGCACCACCAGAAGAAACCAGTGCTGCAGCTGTGTTGCACTATTCTGAAATGTTGCTCAAAGCTGCAGATGCTGTGTTCAACTCCTCAGTAGCACTGCATGAGACTGGATCTGCTGTAGCTGTGTTCGACACTGCAGTTGCTGCCTTCGATGCTACAGCTCTACAGGATGAGACCAGTGATTCAGTTGTGCTCAACGCGGCTCAGCATTTGTACAGTGCTGCATATGCTTTGCGCAAAGTCTCAGCAGCACTGGATTCGACTAGTGGTACAGCTGTACGCAATATTGATGAACCTTGGTACAATGCTGCAGTCGATATGAGCAATGTCATAGCAGCACTGCATGAGGCCAGTCCTGCTAGAGCTGTGCTAGAAGCTGCAGCAGCTGTCTTGGCTGAACCAGCAGCAGTGGGTGCGAAGAGGTCTCCAGCTTGGTCACCCCTTGACACATCTTTGTTCAACAATAAAGAACAGGATGAGATTGGACCTGAAGCAGCTGTGTT